TATGCGAAACTAGCCTTCTGTATCGGTGCTGAGATTTCGTCAGCGATCAACCCGTAGGTGCTGTTAGCATTAATTTCACTTCGAGCAAAGCGGTGGCCTGCTTAAAACTTGGGCTGCCAACAACCTCCATTAGTATATTACGTATAATTTCTCTTATTCAGTTTGTTTAAATATATTAAAGTGTGGTCTCTAATAGTATTGTTTATTCTGGTGAGTATTTAAAATATCTACAGCATTCTGATTCGCAAGTTTCTACTAAGCATGTTAAAAAGCATTATCCGCGGTAGATGGCAGCTTATCCCAATACATGAGGTGATCGCTCCTGAATGGTGTGTCCTTTGTTCACAAAATGTACTCCTCAACATTTTATCGCAAAGATTAAACCTAAAATTTGGATACGTTACGTGGACGACACATTTATAATTATCAAAAGAAACGAGTTAAATAAAACTCACACCTCAATAAGCAACGTCTTCAACGACTTCAAATTCACAAGAGAAGAGGAATCAGAGAACAAAATCTCATTTTCGGACGTCTTATTCAAGCGAACAACCACAGGGGAATTAGAAACCCAAGTTTATAGAAAATCAACTCACACAGATCAAATACTGAATTACAACAGCAACAAACCAATAACACACAAAAGGAATTATATACAAACACTATTCAAGAGGACCACCGTTCATTTCAGCAATTCAGATTGAGGAAAATTTAAGAAAGATATCTCATGGGCGTCTTCCGAAAGAATCGATGGATATCCACGGGATTTCATCAAAAGACATATACCCCCGAGCCAATCAACCAAATCAAATACCCCCAAGGAAAGCACAAAGAAAACAGCCCTACTAAATGTAGAATACACCTCAGAAATCACTACAAGACTCTTCAAACCTTTAGGAATTGACGTCTCACACAAACCAACAAAATCACTTCACTCGGCTGGCTCTACGGCAACGAAAAGACTCAAAAGTGAAAGAAGATAAAACCAACATCATCTACAAAATAAATTGTAACGACTGCGAAAAACACTACATTGGCCAAAGTGGACGTCCCCTTCGTCTTCGTATCCACGAACATAAACCAGCCATCAAAAGACATGACATCCACTCCCTCAATATCAATGCATACTGACAGCGACGGATATCAATTCGACTGGGACAACGTTCAAATATTAGACGGAGGAAAGACCAAGGATGCCAGAGAATGTTTAGGAGCCTAGTATTCCAGTGAATCATCAATCAATAGACACATCGAGATAGACAAAATTTACCAATTGATGAGAAGGAAACCTAACACACAAAGGGTCAAAGTTCAAGTCAAAGAAACAATCCGTTCCAATACAAGTAGGCTAGAGAGTGTGAAAACACACAAAAGCAACGAATCACGTTCAAGGTCACCAGGAGAGATGATTGATAAACCCGTGGATAAATCTAAAAGCTCACTTCAAATTGAAGTATGCGCTGAAGATATCACCTAGTAGGGTGATGAAAGCTTCGCAAATTAACTATCCAGCTCAGAGAACACAACCACATCAAAAAGGAATACATACATATATGCATATATATGTATATATACGTATATATTAATAACCTGGGATAACCTTATTATCCTGATGTTTCGTTTCATTATGACTTCCTCAGATCCTCCAGTGGTACAGCGGCAGAATGCTTGCTAACTACGCATGTGGTCTGGGTTCAGTCCCCAACCAACACACTCCTACACCTCACTAAGCCGGTGGTAAAGAGGGAAGGTCGGGCGTGAGGCTAGCAACCCCATCGCGTGAAAATGAACACCACTGCTACAGAAACTTCAAAGCTCTAGCTTGAAGCCGTGTATTCCATGAGGAACATAAAGGAAAAGAAGAGACTTTCTCACAGCAGTCCATACTGGGAGACTGTTTCATCGTAATAATAAACAAAGCGTAGGTTAAAATTGTATTATAAGTGGTTTTATTAAACACTATTGGTTGTTCACAGCTATCGAGGACAGAAGAAGCAAACTGGAACCGCATTATTCTGCACCAGTGTTTGTTTTCCCTCTGTTTGAACGTTTTGAACTCAGAATATTTTTATAAATTACCACAGCGATCTTGGGATTTATTCCCTTCAATATTATATTGTCATCTTTGTTCCTCTTTTTGAGAAACATTGGTTGCGTCATATGTAAATATATATATATACATACATGTATATTCGTTGGATACTAGTAACTAGTGTAATGTGTCTAGTCCTTTCTTTGGTGAAGACTGAATTCTATTAGTCAGCTTTGTAATGTGGCCACCATTCTAGGTAGCTCCCTATCACGGTGAAGTGCACTGTGATTTGTTAATATAAGACATTTGGAGGCAATGGGTAGGAAGCTTTGCATCACCTAGGTTTCATGCTATTTGGCCCTAACCGGTTAGCAAGGCATATATGCAACCTCGAAGGAACTCATGTACCTCACTCGGATATTCGTACCCTCCTCACCCAGTGACTGCTGCAATCTGGGCTGTTCGCACTGGCTAGCTATCAACATTCTGTAGGACTGTATTGGATACATTTGATTGGACACTATTTGGTAATTAATGTAATTTGTGTAGTCCTTTGTGGCCACATTGCAAACTTGACTAACAGAATTCAGTCTGCACCAAACAAATGACTAGGCTTATTACACTAATTGCCAAACACCGTCCATTCAAAGGTATCCAGTACCATCCTGTAGGAGGCAAATAGCGAACCAGAGCGAATAGCTCAGTGGCAAACATCTCTGGCTGCAGCAGTCACTGGTTGACGCGAGCTCGAATCTCAGAAGAAATATGAATTCCTTCAAGATACGACTTGTTGTTTGTTGGGTGCCAACTAGCAATAAACGTGGGTGCTATCAGAGCTTCCTTCCGACTGCCTTCAACCGTCTAATATGCATATACATATATATGCACAGAAATACTATGATGTGTCTATCTATATAACATGATTATTCTTAATTATCGTTCAATATTTTTATCTCTGAAGGACTAAAGTATCATAAAATTGCAGCGAAACTGTTAAGCTTCATTAATCAGGTTGTATGTATTTGAGAAGATACTGACGAAATAAAATGGAACCCTTCCTTTATCCTGCTGTATGTGTTTGCAAGACTGATTCGTTGAGAATCATAAAATGGGAATTCATGTAGGGATCCTCCTTCACTTGATGCTGGTGCGCCTAATTATTCTTTCATATGTCATGCAGTAGATGTTATGATCTCAAGTGCTACAAGTGCAAATAGTGACTGCTTCTCTGAATTAAATACAAACCATGTCCTCAAGTGTCTCAAATCCTTGAAAGCTACCCAGTCACTTAGCCCAGATGGTGTACCAGCGATTATCCTCAAAATATATGCTGACATTTTATTTCATCCTCTCACTGGTATTTTCAATGAATCGTTTTCCACTAACATTGTGCCTGCTTCTTGGAAGGACATTAAAATTGTTCCTGTGCCTAAATCATCAAGTGGACCAAGTGTTAAGTTATAGACCTACTGCCATTACTTCACCATTTTTAAAAATAATAGAAACGCTGATTTAACTTAACTTGGAGAACCATAACTGAAGGCTTTGAACGACCCTCAACAATTCGCCTATAAACACAGAAGGTGTACTTTAGATGGTACTATCGTCTTATGTCATAATATTGCCTCTAATTTGGACTGAGGTTCCGAATATGTTCTGGTGACTTCCTAGATTACACATCCGCCTTTGACTCTGTACCTAGGCCTCTTTTGTTAAACAAGCTTACTGCGATATAAGTGAAGTGCTGGACTAATAAGTGGTTGAATTCTTACTTTTCTGATAGAAAGCAGTAAACTGTTTATAATCGAAAGCTCTCAACTCCTTCACTTGCTCTACCTGGTGTTCCGAACTCAAGGTGGTTTTCTTTCTTTGTTCCTGTTTTCTTTCTTCTTACAGGACTTGCCCCATTCCGGCGAAGTCAATTTTGTTGGGCATGCTGATGATCTGACTGTTTCTATGGTAGCAGTTATTTATCAATCAGATTGTTCCAGAATGAATAACTTTCTAATATAAATTAGTCAGTTCTCCTTTTCGAATGGTCTTAAGCTTAATCCCTCCAAATGTTAGTCAGGTGGTTAATTTCATTTTCAGACAAGCAAGCACGACTTACGTGAACTGCTTAGTTCGCACGGTTCCACTATCATAGATGACACTAAAATTGAAACTAAATCGAATGTTAAATACCTTGGACTGCGCATTACCCCTTATCATTTTTCCCGGTCATCCTACATCATGTTAGTTTCCAAAAAGATATTTCGTTTGACGTTCTATGTAAGGAAGTCAAGACGATCTGGTATCATTCTGTCTTTATTGTTAACGTTTATTAATTCTTGTACTCTACCCATTCGTCTTTATTTTCCCCCCTTAATATTACCCAGGCTACTAAAGAAAGACTTTATTATACTGCGTAGGGCGCTAAAAGCCATCAAGATTCATGCAAAAAAATTAACAAATATTATCCTGTCAGAATCTGAACATCCTCTGTATGCACAACTCTGCCCACTTGCATCTCATCAGGTAGGTAGAACTAGAAGCAACTATATAGAAGACTATATACCTTGTTTGGCCGGGACACATTTAATGTGGTGAGAAAGGTGTGTAAGGCAGGAAACACTACCAACTTACTGAGAAACTCTAAGGAAACGGTCCCATTTCTTCCATTGTTATATTGTTGTTGGTATTTCCGCTTAATTATATATCCATATTCATATTGAACAATACTATCAATGTAAATTCCGTGTTTTAATTACTACCCCTGTTATGAGACAGTTAGATGCAATACTCTACTGTACTACATGTCCTGAAAATTCCATATTTGTACCAAAAGTATTGTTGGGAATAAAGCTGTTAATATTATTATTATAACTAAAAAATAAAGCATGTTTGCATACATAATAATACTGATGGCTTCACCAATAACCATCACAGTAGCAACAGACACTTTAGAATAAAAAGATTTGGACAAGTTTCAACCTTTTGCAAATGTACCATGAAGGTATTTAGATGACACATCCACAGCGTTGAATGCCTTTATTTATCGATTTATTTTAACTTCCTTGTGATTTTGAAAATTATTTTATCCTTCATTTTTTATTAGTGATAGCGGTTGTGGTATATAAGGCAGATTGGGAGAAGTCAGAATTCATTGGATGGTTAGTGGATTCCTTCCTG